AGGGCGTTCCTTCTGGCTTTTACAAATGACTCTTCAGATGGCTGCTGGTTGTGGCATATGTCTGCGGCCCATCTAATGAGTCCCTCTGAAAACGACACAAGCTCAATAAGTAATGAAACTGCAGCTTGGCTCTTATTACCGAATCTCTGCGCCGTCTGACACTAACGCTGGATAATGTATTGGCGGCAGCAGCTTTTGGCATGCGCTTATTAAATGTGGGTTCAAAAAGGCATTGATAGACTCCACGGAGGCGGCTGGTCTGTCTCTTAATGTGTGATGAGATGAGCTTACAGCCGTGGAAGGAGAAGAATAGAAACTTAATTATCACGCACTGCGAGAGCACCAATCAATAGGTTCGGGTTTACCGTAAGGGCCATTAGGGTCAGAGCCAGCTAGCGGCTAAAGTGTCATACGCTTTTGTAGAGCTTACCACTGGATGACAGTAATGATTTGGAGAACAGAGCAGCATCCGTGAAGCAGCATACATTGTGTGTGTGAATGGAAGCCAGAACTGTTCAGAGCAAAGGATTGTAAACACGTCTCTGATACTGTGACACACAAGGGCACTTTGAGCTACTTCAAATTTAAAACCCATTTACGTCAATTGTTGTTCTTCAGTTCATTTACACACATGATGTTTTGCGGTTAGAGATTCTCATTTTGATATGCCGAGTCTTTCATTATTGAAGCTCTCATAAGGGCATGTCTGAGACGTGTTAAGCTTACATTAGAACACACACTCTTAGATGTAGACTGTCATACATGGGCTTTGTTCGTTTTGTTTTAAATGCATGTGTACTTGATCAGGGATTTGCATGTTTCTGAGCTTAAAAAAAAAAAGGATTATGCCGTTACTTTCTAGGGAATTAACTTTATGTGCTTAACAGAATTTATGTGCTGATGCCAAAAACAAGCTCACAGCTGTTACTGATTGATCATCAGAGCAGACTGTGATAAAAGATTATACAAATGCCATGGGCATTACATAAAGACTTATAGGCTACATAAAAGTTTATTCATTTTTATTGTTATTAGTAGAATTTGGTCTGCCATTAAATCTATTTATTTATTTATTTTTATTTATAAAGACTTCAACACTATTCAAGTGGGACTACTTTTTTTATATAAGCTTGATAATTCTTATTGATTTAATTTTCTTTTGTGCACTTAAATTTGATGCTTTTTTGGTGATATTTTCATCAGAACACTGGCAAAAATTAGAAATTTATTTGACGAAGGTCAAAATGAATGAAGCTTTGAATTAAATGGACCATTTTATTACTGCTGAACCCCTTTTCCCTGTCCAATATGTTTTTTAACTGCCCCATTCCTACAATGTTGGCCTCTCTGAATAGCCTCCATCACAAAATAAAAACACAAAACTGAAACAATTTTCAGAAACTTAGTTGTTTCACACTAACTTTCTTTTAGTTATTAATGAGCAAACGCACTCTGCTTTTTAAATGTCATCTTGAAAAGACAAGTTTTTTTATTATTTTTTTTATTTTTCAATCTTTCTTTCTTTCTTTCTTTCTTTCTTTCTTTCTTTCTTTCTTTCTTTCTTTCTTTCTTTCTTTCTTTCTTTCTTTCTTTCTTTCTTTCTTTCTTTCTTTCTTTCTTTCTTTCTTTTTAAATCAGCTCCATAAATAGAGGCTTTGTCTTCCAATTATTCACTTTGTCAACTGTAAAGAGTATTTACACATAATATGCTTTATGTCAAAATTGTGAGATTTGTTTAAAAAAAAGTCTAGTTAAGTGTCAACTCTGTTTTGACAGCAAACCAACATTTTATTTTTTATTTTTTTTTGGAAACACTCCTACAGTTTGCTCTAATTTGTAAAGTAGTTTTTTCGAGAACAAAAACCACTGAAGTTCTTTTCCATCAGGAAGAAAACATGCTCTTAATGAAACCTGTCAGAAACAAACCCAAAATGAACTTTCCACTCAACCAGTTGTCAAGTGCATCTCTTGAGATCCATTTCACCTTCGTAAGATCTTTTGCTTTGACAAATAAGTGAAAATTTCATGGTTAAGTGATCTAGATGACGATTATGTATACACGTGGAAATAAATATGAGTGGTGCACCACTCCATAAAAACCATATGCTTAAAACCATGCTTAAAACCATAAAAAGAATGTGATATCTGTGTATCAAAAAGAAAATCACTCATAACTTACAAATCAAACATGTTCGACATACAAAGACCTGCAAAGATTCAGGGTGAGGTAAAAAAAAAAAATCCCAAAACATATGTCCAGCTCCGCAATCTAATTAGACGAGTCATTTAATTATTAATTATTTTCATAAAACAAACAGATGCTTTCTTTCTACTCTATATTTCTGCTACACTATATTACTACTATATTCCAAAAGATAAATCTTAAAATAGCAGATATGTGCACATATGGGTTTAATTGTATATTAATGCAAGAAATTGCTGTTACTTGATAACAGAAGGCTTCGGTATAGGTTATAGAACTATATTACAAGGCCGAATAACTGTTTATTGTGATTATTAATAAGTCAAACAAGTCAAAATGATTCAAAATATTTCACAAACAAGAATGTTGTGAGAAAAATATCTGATCGGTTTTTAAATGGGCAATATTTCTTATTCTAAGCACATCATTTGAAATAGAAGCGTGTAGCAATTATTGCATTTTGAAAGTGATTAGTTGAATTTTAGATAGCATATTTAACATGCAAGACTAGAGAGACAAAGGGAGTGAACAATGAGTAAGGACATATTGATGGGGAATTCACACTGCGCTTTGGCAGAGAGGCTTCATATACAACATTGAAGTAATTGCTGTCAGCCCAAGACGGTGCAATGGGAATTCTGCCAGAGGCAAATAGAGTACAGTAGGTGTTCCAATTTAAAGACTTGCCCAGTATGGGTTCGAGAGAAGAAAAAAAGGAAATTAACATATGAGCTGGCATGTGGTTGTGATGAAAGCCTAATGGCTATAGAAATACAGTGCAGTTTTAGCTATAATGATGACAAAAACTGACCAGGTCAAATATAAGTTCCAACTACTTGCTTTAAATAGAATCTACAGTTACTGAAACAACTGACATTCTCTTGGTATTTAAAGAGACAGTTCACCCTAAAATGTAAAGTCATCAATTACTTACTCTTATGTCATTCCAAACCATTTTAAGCAGCGTAAGTTCTCCTTTTGTGTTCGATGGAAGAAAGTCAAACGAGTTTGGAGTAAATAATGACAGAACTGTTCCTTCAACTTGGTCTACTGCGAGTTCCACGTTTCTAAGTCTCTTGGCGCTTTTGCATCGTCTCTTTGTTTTCAGAGATGAATGAGTCTAAATAGGCAAATCCTGCAATAATTATTCATAAACAGAAAGCATATTTAAACGCTTTAAGAATTTTACATGAATATTCCATTGCGTGAGATAAGGACATGTTAATGCTTGATTACGGGCAAACAAAAGTGCTGATGAGGTGAACTAATTATGGAAGCATAATTCCATGCCACATTATTAATTACAGAGATATGACCTCCGAGCAAAACTCAAGAACACACACACACTTAGATACTTAGCATAGTTCCAGAACAGTAAACTTGAGTGGTTGAAATTAGACATTAGAGCAAAAAAGAAAAAAAAAATTAGGATATGCAAAATATTCAAAATAACTAGGCCTGTTAGTTTAACGTCTTAATTTAGCACTTATTATATCTGTAATTTTTTATCATGCAAAACGTGCTCTAAAAATCCCAATAGGAGTGGACAGAATGCAGGAATCCCAAGAACGTTTTTTGAAGTTATCTTAAAAAGCTGGCAGTCAAGGCATAAGATGCTAAAGAAAACAATGAGATTCAATGACAAAATACGACTTCCTCAATGTGTTCAAAGACTGACAATTAAAGGGACAGCTCACCCAAAAATGAAAATTCTGCCATCCTCAAGTTGTTCCAAACAGTTGACGGTAGCTATTGACTTCCATAGTATGGAAAAAAATTCTATGAAAGTTAACAGCTACTGTTAAATATTTGGTTAGCAACATTCTTCAAAATATCTTCTGTTGTGTTCAACAGAAGAAAGAAACTCATACAGGTTTGGAACAAGTGGAGTGACAAAAATTTTCATTTGAAGTGAAATTTCATTTTTGGGTGAGCTATCCCTTTAAACACTTATTCAATGATCTAAACAATAATACTTCAACAAATTGCCTTAATTTCTTGGCTTTTCTCAGAAAATATTCAAATATTAATGGAGTTAATCGGCATATAATGTAATTAATTAAACATATGAATTCATTGTCAGCCTTTGGAATAACTAAAGATCCAAATTCTACAGCAGCCACAGCTCTATTGATTTCAGTAGTATGTTGTTAGCATGTTGCTAAGCTAATTATGCACTACTCTAGTAAGCAAGAAAATACACAGCAAACTGAGCTTTTGAATAAATTATACAAATATATATAATGAATTTGTTCCGCATTGTCCACCAACTATTACCTATTTTTCACTAAGCTTGTCGCTCTTCAGATACTATTCATTTTTGAACAAATTATTCAAGTATTTATAACAAATTTCTCCCGCATTATCCACCAACTGTTTTATTCTCTGTGCAGCATTGCATGCTTTAGAATTGATGTATTCATTTCATTTATTCGTTTGTTTTCTTGCTTGTACAGAAACATTACTTACAACAATTGCATTTACGTTACTTGTTAAGTATTAGTTAAAAGCACAATTTCAACTGTAATTTCTAAGGGAGATCTTCAGCCCTGGAGAACAATTTGGCAAAAAACAAGATATCTTCGAAGGCAGCAAAATTACGTGAACAGTCAAAAGCGTGTTTACGCTGCTTCTGTAGGCAGCTCACTAGGTTTTGGAATGGAGCCTAGATTTTAGAAGAGCGCTTGTGTTATGTTACACAACGCTGTGTTGCAAAAGGTGTTGTATGACGAGAGAGCCGTGTAACTTACGTGAAGCGTAGGGTGTTTGAAATGTGAAAAACAAACGTGAGTCTCACCCAGAGTAGTTGAAGAGTCTGCTGTCCCAGAGGCTGTGTTCCCCACGGGGCCCGCTGTGGAAGAAACAGGAGTCAGAGCCGTCAAAGCGGTTGAGCCCGTCCTCTGTGTTCTTGGATGCGTGGCTGTGCACCACATCGAGCAGGACGATGATACCCAGAGAGTGAGCCACGTCAATCAGCTCCTTGAGTTCCTCTGGGGTGCCGCAACGACTGGAGAGAAGAACAGATGAAGGCAAGATATCAGAGCAGTCTGGGCAGAGGTTGTCTGTCAAGCTGCATGCTCTTTGTCTTGGGTTAAGCTTGAAACTAGCAGTAGTCTGACTGTTAAGACCAATTCTTTCAAAAGTATAGAGATATCTTTCTCAGTTTATCGCAAAGCCTAAGATGCACTGGTAGGACTTCAGAAAACAGTATATCTGCTTGCTGCACGTTGTGCTAAAGAAAACACGAGTGTGAAACATTGCTGGAGTCGGCTTTACAGTTAGAGCAGTAATGATGGCTGACGATTGCAAATTGGGATTGACAATTTGTCTGTTGTGTTCATGTCACTCACAGTGTAAGCTGAATACACAAACAACTTATGAAGCCATCTGTTCTTAACTTAGATTAAGAATAAAATAGTAAATAATACATAAAACAGATAATAAAATAGGCCTCTATTTTTGGGGCCATTGCCTTGTGGGCTGCGCTCCAACATATGGTGCAACAGTGCTCTGGGCAACCCAAGTTTGAATCCCGGCTCATGGTCTATTTACAATCTCATTTCCATCTCTCCTATATAATTGGTTAATGTCTTAGTTGTTCTATCTGAATAAAAAAAATTTAAATAATAATAATAAATAGAAAATATAGGCCTATATTATTTCTTTTATAGCTTTGAAAACTTTAAAAGACACAATATTTTAAAATAAATAAATAATATTGAAACATATTTAAAATAACTTAAAATATTTCTATTTAAAAACTTTGGTCTTTAGCCTACTTAATATAATAAAAAATAACTACATAACAATATTCACATAATATAATATAATATAATATAATATAAACTGAGACGTTTTTCATTAACAAATAAAAATAAAAACTAGTTTAATTGGAAAAATGGTAGCTAAATTAAAATTAATTTTCATGAGATTCATGATGATGATTACAAACTAAGTCAAATGAATGAAGGTATGAATAAATTAATTAATTAATACATACAGAAATAATTGTAGTTTTTCCAAATAGAAAATACTGTGATGATTTTAGATTAATTTCAACACGAAAATTGATATAACACTGCCCTGAGAAATGTAATGTTGTTACATTAAAGGCCATTATTATGCAAAAATCCACTTTTACAAGGTGTTTGGACAGAAATGTGTGGTGGAATTGTGTGTAGACAGCCATCTTAGAATGATAAAAATCCATCCAGGCTTTTTTTTTTTTAATCTTCATAAAACCAAACCAGGCTCAAAATGAGCAGTTTGGATCCTGTCCGCAATATGACATCATATTTTGGTAGCCCCGCCCACAGCTATTGACTGACAGGCGCGTATTACCATATCCTCAGCTCTCAGTGTGTTGTGTTATGTCCGCCATTTTGTCCGCGTGTGATCGGCTGTGTCGCATCCATCGTTACAAAGCGGCTGTGAAAAACTAGACAAGTACATGAATGATTCAAACTACCATTCCGAGACATTCTGGTTTATTCGCATTATTGTTTCTTCTGCTGTCCAGTTCGTACATGTAGGGCTGAATACCGGTCCTCTCACTCTCGTTCATGTTGCTTCTCCTCTCTGTTTATTGCCATACCCAAAAACTTCACAGGCACATTCAGCAGAGCCATAAGATTAATATTACATCTTGTAAAAAGGGGCATAATAGGTGCCCTTTAACACACATCTGGCAGACCAAAAATAAATAAATAAAAACAACAAAAATAAATTAACTACAAAAAAAGAAAACTAAAAATTTTATAAAAACTTTAGTCAGAGTAAAAACTAAAAATAATAATAATAAAAATAATAATAAACTGAAAGGACAAACAGAAAATAAAATGCATGCTCATCCACTTAAAACAAACAGAGCAATTATAGTCCCCCTATAGTGGCACAATGGCGATAGTTCATGGATCGCCTCTTCTGGGATTCAAACCTACAACCTTCTGGATACCATCCCAGATCTGCCACATTACATACGTGTGCATGTGTTTAGCTCAGAAAAATCCCCTCTACACAACAGCTGTGTTTAGCACCGGCAGCAGAACAACACATGTGCAAATACATTTACCGTGCCGCCCAATTGCCGTGTAAAAACAAACAAATATGGCAGTAAATAAAAATCAATCTCAGATCGTTTACACCATCATGGCCGCTGAGCAGAGATCAACGCCTCCATTCGGGGTGACATACTGCTCCTTGCGAAACAAAGGGCGAGAGCGGTGCATTTCCATCAGTGCTTCCTCACGTATATCCTCCGTGTAATTGCTGCACGAAGCTTCGTCTGTCCTCCAGCTATCATCATATCGCTTTCCCCGGCAAACGTGATGCAGGGTGACACCAATACCCCTCCCCTCGGCCTCCGCCCCTTCCCAGCATCCAGACCTTGCACTTTTAAAATGGCTCAGGGAGATCAATCATGGGTGAAATTACTCTGTATACATTATACTCGCGCTATAGGCTGTCTTCAGTGCTAGCCGGTAAGAGCGAGTGACGGAAAAAAGCACGTAAATAAAGAATTCCTGCCAGTCTTCCTTTATCTGAGGTCTCTACCTCTCCACAGGATTAACTGCAAACGTGTTTACAGGGAGATTATCGGCCCCGTCAGAGGAACCTCTCTGTGATTTGGGGCCACAGATGTGGGACAGTCTTCATGGTGTGTGTGTGCCTATCGTTTTCACTGAGGGGTGTTACATTTACCTCATTTTGAACATTAAGAATATAAAAATGAGTGAATTGTACCATTTTATAGGTCTCAGGACAGCATCATTTTCATTGAGGGTCAATAAGTGTGCCCCAGAGTTGATTTTCAGGGTCATTTTTAACTTTGGCTCACAGCGTTCCTGCCTAGTGTTCCAGATCAGTCACTTATTAAGTTACTTGATGGTTAGTAAAGCTGTCTTCAGGGTGATTCACAAAGAAGGTGTTTTTGTGTTTAAAAATGTGAGATGCAGGGGAGAGGAATAGAACAGATGGGTTGTCAAGCGATTCAAATTAATTATATGATGTGCCGATTAATTAAATTAATTAATCGCACATCAATTTAGGCTGAAATATCACCCCCCCCCCAAAAGAAAATTTAAAGGTAGGGTAGGCCATTTCGGAGAGGCTAGCAATAGCAAGCTAGCTTTGAAAGCATAAGATCCCACCCTCCCTGCAAATCAATCTCCAAAGCCACGCCTCCTCCAAAAAACATGAACGCGCACAGCGACATGGTGAGAGACGGCGTTGGTGGAGGGTTGAATGCAATGCTGTCAGATTACCTAATGTCTCATTCACTGGTGAAAAAACATTACAGTACAAAGCGCATGATATTACAATAATAACGTCTTCCATTCTTGCTCGGTCTGCAATAGAGTAATGGAACGCGTTGATGACGTATCTTGTCTGCGCAAAAAGGGTGAGCAGAGGTATGCAAATACATACATTGACTGACAGGCAGGTCGGACAGCTTATCGTAGCCCTCGGACCAAGGGATATGATTGGATAAACATTTTATGGTCCTACACCTTCCACAGATTATATAAATATATTTAGACCACTTAACTTAGTGATTGCTATCGGTATGTGAAGAGACTTTCAATCAGCATAACAAACAATGTTTTTGAACCAAATAACCTAGCCTTTAAATTAGGGATGCTCCGATCCGCCTTTTTTGCCTCCAATACCGATTCCGATACCTAGGGTTCGGTATTGGCCGATATCGATACCGATCCGATACCAGTGAAGTCTTTTTCCCTCGTTTAAATAAATGTAGAATTTATATATCTCTATGTGTGGAACTGATAATCATTCTTTCACAATCTACTAGATACAGACTACATTATAAAGAAAAATAAAATAAACAAATATGAAAAAATATAGGCCTATGTATATTTATAATCTATGACAAAAATGTATCATAAACTAGGTTAGTGGATAATTCGGCAGAAAAAGTTATTCTAGAAAAGTTTCATGTTAAAAACTGCAAAGCACAAAGGGAAGAGAAATTTATGCGTAGTGTATTATGTCTGTGCAACAGTTATTGCGCCTTTCTTTTAACAGTTTTAAATTTCAGTTACTGTGCACGTTAAAAACAATTTATAGTCTTTTCTACGCCCGTGTTTTGTTCTCACAGACACCGGGTAGCAAGTAACAAAACAACATTAAACTCCGGCAAGAAGATAAAGTCCTTTTTGCAAAATCATAGACATGTATTTACAAATCAAGTATAATGGGAACACAGAATGATCTTGGAAAGAGCTTTACCGAACTGACTGTCGTAACCGAATGTGACCAGGGTTTAAAGGCTGAACTGACTGACTGACTGACAGCCACAGTGGAGAAAACAGTCTGTGTGAACTTTAATGAAAGGACTTAAATATTCGGGAACAAATAAAAGTGTTGCACTAAATATGGTAAAATGTTACACATTGCTATTTGTAATATTATAAAATCCATTCATTAAAAACATTCATGAATGTATTTATACATATACCAGTTTGTGTGAACTTTAATGTAAGGACTTAAATATTCATATGTAGCTCACATTAAGCTATCGTATGGCTTCAGAAGTAACACAGAATAATTCGCACAATCGGGAAAAAAAAAAAAAAATCTCGGATTTGGATCGGCCCTCTCTAACCGATACCCGACTCGAGAAAAATGGCACTATCGGAGCCGATACCCGATATAAATATCGGATCGGCGCATCCCTACTTTAAATGATAATTATTTAAATGAGATGCGTTAAATGAGATTGTTTTAAAAAAACTGAATAATGAAATATGACATAAAAAAATAAATATGAAACTAAAACCACCAGTAGGTGGCGGCAAGTCATTGAATGAGCGTGTCATTCATTCAACTGATTCATTCAAATGGCTGATTCATTCAGAAACGAACCAATATTGTTTATGAAAGGGCCATGAATCATTTGCTCACTTGAACTGTTCAAAAAGTGTGTTGCTCAGAAAGTTATAACAGTTCTGGTGTGGTTTTGTTTTGTATTTACAAACTATTTTTGCTGCTGAAATTGAGCGAAAACAGACAATACTGACAATATTGTGGCTAAAATGTTGTTCTTGATTATTGAACTGAAAATCAATAACACATTTGCAATCATGCAGATATTCTGGAAAAAAAAACTGCACTCTTGCTAGTGTGATAATTCACATATATATTCATATATATATTAGGCTTGCCGCGATAGGTGGTGCTGACGGTGAAACCGATGTTAAGCCGCAACACCGACCCCCACCGTCATTTTGATTTTTTTTATAGTAATAAAAATAATTTAGTTCAATAAAAGAACAGACACTACAATTAAAAACTGAACGCGGCTGCTCAATGCAGCGTGCCGAATGACAGTCGCATCACAGGTCAGATTTCATTTATCCAGTGAGGAGAGTGAGTCGAGCTGACTGACAAGAAGAGTGAGGTGAGGTGAGACAGACAAGAGGATCGTGGATGATTTAGTTTTGAAAAGAAATGCAAAAGCGCCTGTTTGGCAGTATTTTGGATTTTGAAAAGCCTGTTGACTTTTGCCGTTTATCTAAGGTGATTTTTTTAAAAGGTGAAGTTTTTTTAAACATTTGTTTCTTATTTAATTGGTTCCACAATGTTTGCTGATTTTTACTTTATTTAAACTTTGTGTAATTTATTTATTTTATTTGACATCAAGGTGTATGCCGTGCCTCCAAGCTTTTTTATTCGTTTTGCTAATAAACTTCCTATGTTTCTTATTTATTTGGTTATATATTATACGTGTTTACTTATTTCCAGTTTTGTATAGGCTACCTATTTAAACTTTATGTAAGTTATTTGTTATTTTATATTAGGCATAGCCTGCCCTATAGCATGGTGTATTTTTATTTGTTTTGTTAATAAAAGTTATATGTTTTATATATAGGCTAAAGTGAGTTTAACGTTGTATTTTGTTGTTGCATTCAAGCAATTGACGCCGAATTGCCGCTAATTTGAAAGTGAAAGTAAAATGTGCATGGTGCTTTTAAAGGGATACTCCACCCCAAAATGAAAATTTTGTCATTAATCACTTACCCCCACGTCGTTCCAAACCCGTAAAAGCTTTGTTCATCTTCGGAACACAATTTAAGATATTTTGGATAAAAACCGGGAGGCTTGTGACTGTCCTATTGACTGCCAAGTAAAGTATGAATTCAACAATTCGTCTCCTCTGTGAACCACCGCACACCACTGATATACAGTATATATATATACATACATATACATACACGCACACACTTTGTTTGCCCTCCTATCTTAAATTTTAGGGGCATATAACTGCATTCTAATAGACTCCATCATACAGTCAGTTATCACCTTGCATCATGTTCATCAGCAACAACAGCATTAGATGACGGAACTCTTTTAATGTGTTATTTTTTCCATAATTAATCACAAAAAATTAACGTGTTGAATCGACAGCCCTAACAAAATCCAAGGTATCCTGTTTATTTTGCAATGTGGAATTAACTATTTTCTTTGAATGTGTGAGACTTCATTAGCCACTGTAGGTTAATAATCGGAATATAAAACTAAATGTGCTACAAACCAGTGTGTTTATGATTAAGACATTATATTAAAATAAAATAATTTACAATATCAAGCAGCATAATGGACTGTTTTTGTACAGCTAACTGGAAGTGAATACACCAGAAGCAAGTAAAAAAAAAAAGTATAGAGATGTTTTGTTTTTTTTAAACCCTACCCTACCCTACCTTTACATTTTTGTTTTTTTTCTTTCAACTTGATCACTGACTTTTGGGAAATGCTGTGTCGTGCATGAGATGTTGCAAAAGAAGCGAGACGCGAGTGCGATGGTCAAACACGGTCGAACACAGCAGAATGCAAAAACTCGTTCTGTGTGAAAGGCCTCTAGACAGTAGACAAAATTCAAGATTTTCACAATACAAAGTTATATACAGAATACCACCTGGGGAGAAATGTCTGCTCCATAGACAGTACATACATTTTATTAAGGAAATGCATATACATAGAAATAATAATGAAAGACTAGGAATGCAAAAAAATGTCTACAACAGAACTGAGACACAATAAATATTCAAATGTACAAGGAATGTGCAAAAATTGAGCAAAAATTACTGCAAGGCAGTTCACTAAGTTTGCAACCTGGTTAGTCAGAAAACAAAGAAAACAATGTTAACATGAAATGGACTGGAACATTTTCCAGCATTAGATATATTTACCTTGATGCTGCGAAGAAACTGGTGACCTGGTAACCGAAGCTAGCATAGTAGGCATGCTCCATGATCGCCATCAGCTGAATACAGTTATAACCTGTGTGTATGACAGTAAAGACAGCAGTGCTTATTAGCAGATCTTTGGCAAAAACTAATATTCTATCATCATTTACTCATGCCACTCCAAACCCATATGACTTACTCTCTTTAGTGGAAAATTAGATATTTTGAAGAATGTTCATTCAGATCTTTCCCATAAAAACAACAAGTTATAGAGTTGAACTCAAGAATCAAATAAGTCTGAACAAATGACTGTTTTGAGACTTTTTTTTTTTTTTCAATTAACCAGTTGGTCCAGTTTTCAACTCAATGATCCAGACACAGTAAAATTTCAATCTGTTCATCACACAAAGCTATAGTGCTTCAGAAAATATGTACTGTAATATAATGTATGAGTGATCTGGACAACCTTTATGGTGTTTTTTGGTGTTTTGTGTCATTTTTGGAGCTTAACACGCAAAGAAGTATCAGAAACAACCTAGGGCTGCACAATTTAGATAATTTCTCTGATAAAAATTGTGACTGGAATGCCTTTTTTTTTTCTTCAGGATTGCTGTTCTTGTTTGTAGGGTTGCACAATTTGGCCAAACTCAACTTTGCAGTAAAATTTTGAGTACCATTTCTATACAATTAATAATAATAACATTACGATTAATAATTGTATAATAAAATAATATTAAATAAAATGTAAAAATATGAAATGATACCACTGTAACATATCACTGTAAAATAGAAAATGTGGTATTTAATAATAATAATTATATATGATGATGATGATGATGATGATTATAACTTTAGAGTAAAAAATATTATTACACTTGTTTTTTCATTACATGTTGCCCCAAAAACACATTAATATGCAAATTAGATTTAGCTTATAGATACATTGTATATAATGAGAAAGCCTGTTTATGGCCATTTTACACATTTTGCAGAAAGAAAAATAGTATATTGAATCATTCTGTTATAACATAGTTGAGAATCATCTTTATACAAAGTTTGATTTAAAAAAAATCTTGAAAACTACAAATGTATTGGTGATTTAAAAAATCAATTGTTTTTGCCTATGCATGTTCATTCATGTATTTTTATTTTTTTTAAGAAATTGAGTCCCGATGTCCTCTACCGAGGACATGGCATAACTTATGAATGAAATATATATTTTTTAATATATATTTATTTTTACATTATTTTTAATGTTCTAAACAATGTAAAGACATGGAAAAAAGTAACTTTTTCCTAAAACTTTTTTCTCGGGTCTTAAGAGGTTAAATAGCCAGCACATAAAATGGCAGCATTTTCATTTTTGAATGAACTATACCTTTAAAGCTTCAAATCTAATCTTTTAAGATGCCAAATGTATTTGTTAAAAAAATATATTTTTTAATTGCTACAGCAAACTTTCAGTTGTGACTTTTAGTTATACAGCTTTCCTGCAAAATAAACGTGGGAGCAAAAAAGTACAAATTCTGCTGTTCTGCTGATTTTGTGTCGTCCCCACGGCAGTGTGTACCAAATGCCCACGCAGAGAACGACGGCTTCGCATAATTTCAAAACATCTGTTTTCATTAACAAGAGGACATTATACAACCGTCAAACAAAAATAATAAATTGTGAAGAACCTTGACATGAAAACACTACTCAGGTTTGTCCCAAGGAATACAGCGGTACACAGACAACCATCAAACCATCTACAACAAAACATCTTCCCTTCTTCCCCCTTCAGCTCTGACCAGAAAGTGTCCACTACAGAAGCTGCTCTTTTATGCGAACACAAAGTGGCCACCGGATCATACGCAAGTCTTAACTGTCCAAACCAGTGTTTTGGTTGCCCATGCAGACTGTAGCTGCACTGACATGGCTTTGAATCTTAATGGGAAGGACTCAAGAGGGAGATCCAGGCTTATCTCACATTGTTCTTTTTTTCTGAGTAGATTGGTTTATTTATTTATCTATCTATCTAGCGATCTTCCTCGCCCTGCTTCAGAGAAAGTTTGGGGATTTTTGATGAAGCGTGACAGCGCCAGGGGCTCGTCTCACCGACGATGCGTGAGCACACACACACACGCAGAACACTTTCGACGCTTTATAGATGCCAGAACCACAATTGTCTAGGGAAATGCAAACCGGTTACCACGAAACAATGAGAACTCAAGGGAGCGACAGACACACTGCAACAACATACTGGTTTAGTGCATGGACATATGCATGAATTATTCTCTCACAATATGTGTTACTGCAAATGGCTTCGTAGGACTTTATGTGGGAAGGCACCGGGCGGTCAATTTCCATCTAAACATGCAGGCACACATATTTCTGTTTTGCCTACAAGCAATAAAAAAATACTTTTTTTATATTTTTCTAGAAAAACTTGAGTGGTGCTTGTCCCTCTGCTACTTACAGGCACAATGTTGGAGTTGGTGTGAAGGTTTTAAATGATTCCCATGTTTCCGAAATGCTAAAAGAACCTACCACCATGATATTTCTAGAGAATTACTGTGCCTACATATAGATGGGGCCCTCAAGGGCCTCTGTGGCCCAATGCCAGGTATGTGTACATTGTCCAAAAGAGCCCATTCCATGTTTCTACGATTGTCTTCTTTAAAAAGTGATGAAATTGTGATTTAATAAGGCCATCACCAACTCATACTGAAATAAAAATGTCAATTAAATTAAAATAAACATAGACAGATAGGCGTAGGCGTCCAGTGAGAAGTGACGAATGCGGAAGCACAGAGGAGAGAGCAAAACAAAACACCGGTCATGAATTAGAATTACAAAACGAGGATTTGTATAGAAAAATGTCGCAGGATTTTGACATAAGCCAAGAGGAGACTGGCTTTCCTTTACTAAACAAATGAAATTTTGCTTCCTTTGCTCTTATAAAACAAATCTTGGTTCTCCCGAGACTAGCACATTCTCACCAGAGCTTACGCTACGCCGGAACGCCACTCTCTCGTGCACGCACATACAGCAGTCAGCGGAAGCTAGAGATCACTTCTTATAAAGTTTTAAATATGGACATTTTTCAAACGCATCGATTCGCTTCAGAAGGTCTTTATTAACCCCCTGGAGCCATGTGGAGCACATTTATGATGGATGGATGCACTTTATTGGACTTCTATTGGACTATTGAATATCAACAGCCATTCACTGTCATTAACAAAGCTTGGAAGTGCCAGGACATACTTAATTTAATATAACTCCGATTGTATTCGTCTGAAAGAAGAAAGTCATATACACCTAGGATGGCTTGAGAGTATAGGGTAATTTTCATTTTTGGGTGAACTATCCCTTTAACAATAAACCAAACAAAACAAAAAAATAAACAGATAAATAAATAACAAACAAACAAAACAAACAACACACATTACAAACAAACAAACAAAAAGAAAAACAAAAAACAAAAGTCCAATGCAAACAAAACAAAAAAACAAACAAAAAAAAGTGTCAATGAAGCAGACTCTTAGCAAGATCTTTCCCAGTTCTAACAGTGAAATGCTAGTTAATGTGAAATTTGGATTTAATAATCCCACAATCTACCCATACTGAAATGAAGAAAAGTACCATTTAATTCAAACACCGAAAAGCACACTCCTTTTATAAGCGCATCAACAGATTCAGACTCTCTGACTGAGATAAATGTCTGGAACTTCTGCTGAAAAAAATCTACACCGCAGGCATCTCTTGACAAATATTCCTGTCAACATTAAATGTTTCAAAACAGAGTCCAGGATCCAGGAAGCAAAAGATAATGGTTGTTATTAAAGGGATCGTTCACCCAAAAATGAAAATTATGTTATCAAATACTCTCATTTTATTCCAAAACTGTATGTCTGTCTTTTTCAGTGGAACACTAAAGGAGAAATCTTAAATAATATGCTTTATTTAGCAGTCATATAATAGAAGAACATCCTGAAATGAAGTCATTATTCACTCATGTTTGTCCCTTTCAGAAAGCTGTTAAATGCTGTGACTCAAGAACTCGACAACCAGATCAGTCTGGTTTAGAGTGGTTTTGTGAACTCCAACTCGGTCACAAATAGACCAATAGATTATGTTATGAAATATCTGAGGAAAGCTTTCCAGAAGATTCTCAGGAGTTCCCATTCGTTTATCACATAAAGCTATTATAGCTTTAAATATATAGCTATATAGAGTCCCCATTCACCTTCCATAAACAGAAAAGAGTGACCTGGTCATTTTTCAGAAATTCCCCTTTTTATGCTCCACAGAAGAAATTAAGAATGTTCAAATTTGGACGAACTGTTGTATCACCCCAATGTCTAACCCACAGGCTTCTAAGCCTCATCTTCTGTGCCTGTTAAAACACTTGAAAATACCCCCTGCATCTCCAAAACACATCGGCACACTAAAAACACACCTCTCTCCAGTCCTCATCCACGACAGCACTAATGATGAGCAATCCACACGGAAGCTAAAGCCTGTAAACAGGGTGTTGACCTGCAGAAAAGGGCTGGGTTGAGAGAACAGCCTCCCCAAAACATTGGCGCCAGGGCCAGTGGCTCATCATCAATGCGGCAGGTCCGTCAGGTTAAGCACCACTGCAGCTCAGATACTTTGTGATGAAGGAGGAACGCTGGCAGGTAGAACATAACCTCTCTCTGGGCTAAAAAATAATGCTTGTGTCCTTACAAAGAAGTACTGTGATGGTACCAACGTACAGTGATGTACTGGATACTAATACCATGGTACTTTGATATATACGTTTGTACAAAATGATTAAAATATTAATTTAGCATGATCCCTTAATAGTCATGCAAGGTATTTTAAAGGGGTCATATGATGCTGCTAAAAAGAACATTATTTTGTGTATTTGGTGTAATGAAATGTGTTAATGCGGTTTAAAGTAAAAAAAACACATTATTTTCCACATACTGTACATTATTGTTTCTCCTCTATGCCCCGCCTTTTTGAAACGCGTCGATTTTTACAAAACTCATCGGTCTGAAAAAGCGAGGTATGCTGTGATTGGCCAGCTATCCAATACGTTGTGATTGGCCGAATACCTCAAGC